CATTACATTTTGCAAACCTGATCCTTAAGAAGAAGTGCAATCCACATGAACAGGTATATCTTCCATACCCTTCAGTACCCAGAATCTGAAATCACATTTGTCCACCTTTAACATTAGTTCATTCTCCCACATGCAGGAGATATTCAGAGGCGTTCAACCTCAGTAACTCACAGGAAACATGAGCATCACTGATTATCATCATCACATTCATGACAACCCTTCCAACTATTTCACATATCTACTAACAACATGGGAGACACTTTCCAGGGTATTTCCCAAGGGAATGCATCAAAAACACCCAGCATAATTCTGCTAGTAGAGACATGAAAGGAATTACTGCAATGTGGCAATTTGAACCTCTACTATGGCAAGACCTCCAAAGAAATATCACACTGAATGGTAACCAAAGGGATCCAGCAGTATTTAACAGGATCACATTTCTACTTCCTCTCTCAACTCTCAATATACTGTATATCATCCATTAGAACAACTAGACTTCCTCCATTGTAAATCCAGATATAAAACCAGGTTGAAAATAATTTAGATAATCCACTAATTCAATTCAAGAGTGCAAAAACAGCATAGCATGTTGGGGTTTGGTGTAAGGATCTTGAGCTCTTCAGAATGCATAAGATAAAATCGTTCAATTTTTTGAATTGTGATGTTTGAAGGAAATTAAATGATAACATGGGTGCTTTAAGCCTCATAGAAAAAAGTAGCGCTATTCTGTTAACCTCTCTCTTCAAGTTCCACTTCCATCTGTTTAAAAAAAACAACCACGCATACACAACCCAAACGCTGCACTATTTTCTCTTTATCAGTAGAGGGAGATATAAGCTAAAAGAGATAGAGGGAGGGTGGTAAAGAAGGAAAGATTCAATATCACTACTGATGAAAATAACAGCTCAAGCTTCTGGTAATTTTAATTTTACTATTATAGAAATATGGAAATAATAACATAATTTAAATTAAAACAGTAAAATGAAATATGATCCTGGCCAATGTTGCTTTATGAGCTTCAGCATATCACACAGAATTTGTACATGTCAAACTGAAGGTGCAACTCCTTAACCTAAAAATTGGGAATGGCAGGCCACTACTTTCTTTATCACATTGCGTATATAAAAATATTTCAAATTGGCAGGTAGATCTAAGTGGACTCTTCAGCAATAGCTTCACTACTGCCTCTTTTTAAAGCAGCATGAAAGAATCGCTTGTCTTCAAGAAATAACAGCAGATGATCATTGGCAGCACAGAGTCTTGGAGGCTCTTTATATAAAGTTTTGGGGAAGGGTTCAATTTATAAGTACCAGTAACAGTTCAGATAGATCCAAGAGCTTCTCTAATTCCTTGGAGATAAACTATTTAACAGGCTCAGACAGATTTTATTAACTACTAAATAATATAAAAACAGTACAAACGGAACAGATTTTATTTCTGAAACTTTTCATAGCTAATGGATTTGAGTGCTACTGGAACTAATGAAGTCATTGTTTTGATTATCTAACATTCTAACATTGGATTCTTTTGGTGATTCTTCATGGATGGAATCAAGGAATAGTCCCAGCTTCTCTACTATGCCATTCTAATTAAGGAAGATATCTTATGCCTCTGCCTGGATCACACTTAATCAGATTCAGTCTTGGATCTATACCATGATTGCTGTGCTGTCCTGCTCCCCACTATCTTTTGCACGTGTGCGCGCGCGCACACACACACACAGTGAGAATTCTAAAGGTGTTTATTCAACCCCCCCCCCCCCCAAAAAAAAACAGGTCCTCAGAAAGCACCTACATTGTGCAGGTTCAGTTCGGAGCTCAGCACGGCAAGAGTCCCCAGCTAAAACGAGTCTAACAGACACACAGGAAGTCCAGGGAAACAATCCATGAGTCAATTGGGTCAGGATGCATGGCATGAACACTAAAGGCACAGAACTGGGCACGTTGCTCCACCAACACTCAAGTCCTTAGGGCAGGATTAAGTAGATGATGCTGGTGCGGCCCTTCAAGAGGGTGAGGTTGTCTCCTCATGTGCAGCCTAGCTCACCGGCATTGTGCCTGTCTCCTCTCTGCCCTACATGTTCTTGGATTGGGTGGAGGTGTAGACTCCATCTCCTCCTTGTCACTAATGGGGACTAACTGCTTCCGGTCCTTCCCTGGAGCCTCCTGGCCAACTCACTGCAGCTGCAGCTCACCTTGCTCAGCCTCAGCCTGTCATTTGTCTGATCGACCCAGCTGAGGTTGCCTCCATCAGGTTAGCACTCTCTGAGCCTCACGGGGGTCAAATCCATGACACTTGCTTAAGCTTGCCCTTACACTTCATCATGCACAATTATTTTATATAGCACCCTTCAAGGGATAATGGAAAAATTACCATGTCAAGTACCCAAAACACCTTCTGTTATTTATAAATTGGGTACCAAGGTCTTCTGGTACTTAACATGGTAACTCCTAAGCATCAAGCTGTTGACAGGATGGCCAGCCAGATTAAAAAAACAAAACTTCACCCAACACTATTTATAATCTATCATGCTCTGGGGATTACTTTATCTAATCTTGCCTTTACCTGAATAAAAAAGAATATGTTGCAATAATAAAATCCTTATCAAGTATTGATCCACTCATGGCAAGATTTCCACTTCTATGTCTTTCATATATGATATTTCCTTTTCAGAACAAATAGCAAATTGAGACTATGACCTGCCCATAGCTTCTGAAATTATTAGTCTGAAGCCCATGAAAGTCACAACATTTTGATTCACCTGTTGGAGTGCAAAACCCTTAGAGCTTCTTCCATAGCTCTGGGATTGCCCATGTAGGCTATTTGTGTTTGAGGAAATAAAAGTAGAAGTAACTGTAACTGAATGGTCCCATTTCTCTTAACATTATTTCTTCCTCTACTTCTCGTGAGGTGAAAGTTTCTCTCAATTCGGCAAAGTTTCCATTGAATCACCTCATTGGAACAGGTCTTGGAATTAAAACAAGGGCCTGCTTTAAAGCACTGTTAAATTAGGAACCTTCAAAAGAGCCTTACAAAGTATTTTGCAAGTAAATGGCTCTTCTGTTGTCTCTGGGGTAATCCTGGAATTATATATCATTGCAGACAACTTTAGTTCCATACATGGTGATTGAAAAGATGAGCTAAGCGGAGTGATGGATTCTCAGAATGACCTTTATCATCTCACTAAACCTTCTGCCTATCAAAACTCTTTTGAGGTGGGAAGACTAACATTACATTTGCCTTCATTCATTTTCTCACCTCTTAGTTTCTTGAACATGGCCAGCTGGGAGCCTTAACTTTATTTCCTCTTGGGTTAGCAGAATGTGACACTTTTATTCTAATTCTGTCAACATAAGTTGGAGTTCAGTTTGGCATTCTGTATAAGGATTCAAGGCTCACCAATATAGTGTGTGTGTTTGAGTCAAACCATTGTCTGTTAACATTGTCATTTTCCCTCTTTATTATACAAAACTCTTTCTTGCAAAAAACATATTATTCTTAAGCTTGTAAAAGTTAGTAAAAACAAAACAAAAAAGCCCTAGGTTATTATATTTTGTGTAGATCCCTAATGTACCAAGTCACACTTTCAAAAACACATTAATTCCAAGAGATACACACATACAAAAATACATATAATATATACACATATACATACACACACAAGCAAAATATCAAAAGACAATGTTCAAAGCATACAATTATTTTAAAAAAGATCATGATCACAAAAAATAACCTTTTAAAACACCAACATTTACAATTTTGAACTGCTCATAAAGTTTTAAAGAAGAGTAATTATTGTTATAGTTCAAAAGTAGAGGGGGGATGGGGGGGACGGTAGAAATGGGTGAACCACCCCTCTCCTAAAAAAAATTAACAACTTTTTCTGATCCAGATAACTATTAATATGTTCCTTCTCCCTAGAGATTGCTCCAGCTATCTAATTAAAGAAAACATTGAACACTACTTCTGCTGAGCATTTTTTTCAACACACTTCTAAGTTTTATGAAGAAATGGAGCTGGATCAAAGCCAGAAAAATGTTTTATGGCTTCAGGCTTTTGAATACCTTACCAACATTCTGGCAGCAAGTAGAAAATAGAACATTTAATATGATACTGAGCATTTCTTTCTTTGGCTACCTTTTAGGAATGGAAGGAACAATGCTGCACAATCTTTCTGTGGTCAGAAAAAGTATTTGACTAAACCCAGCTCCTGCTGCTTCTTAGCTTTTTGAAGGATTATTTATTTATCAATTTATCAGTTCTTTGAATGATCACCTATGACTCCATTCACATAGGCAACACATTTCTGCAGAGCCCATTAGAACTGTCTAAAAATTGCTTGTCTTATACACATACCAAGCGACCTAGATGCAGCACCCACTGAATGTTTTCAGTTTCTAAGTTCAACACAATACATCTGAGGAATAGTGAGATCATCTAAGATCAAGCAAGGTAGAAGGGTCAGTTGTGTGGATTCACGGATGACTGTTTAATGAAGTGCAGGTATAGGTTGGTCGCTTCATCACTATCTCTGTGATTGATACAACTATTAGAGTAGCAACCTTCTTACCTAGAAGAAGATCTGATAATAAAGTGACACCTCATCAGGAACCAAGGTTCTGTCTATAATACTGAATGAAGATGAAAAAATGAGCCTATGTGTTTTTGCAGTGTACTCACATAGGGGAATATACTCAGTGAGGACCACTGATGCTCTCATGGAATGAGGGCTGAGTAGAATAGCAGCTCATAGCAAAGTTTTTGTATGATTGTGTTTCCAAGTATGTAAGCTTCGTTCGTAACGTTTGATTAGCTTTCTGTAAATTTGTTATAGCATTTCAGTATGTGATTGCTTGTCCGTTAATTGGGAGCTACTACTTTCTAATTTATTAATTCTGGTTTGAATTAATCAGCACACACTTAAAGCATATCCCTCCAAATTGCCATTCTTTTATATCTACAATAATATTTTTATTCATTTATTTCAAATAAAACATTACCCTTTCATCTTCTTCGTCGGTAGATGAAAGAGAAGATAGCGTTGCTGCCACCACCGCTGTGCCTTGATGGACACTGCTTCTCAGTTTTGGATTTTCCTCTTTTTGAAGACATCTAGACAACCTGTAAGCTATTTCCTAATAAAATCAATAAAAACAAAAATTACTCACCTGCTTATCAATTTAAATCCACAATTCTTTAGAAGAAAATAAAGCAAAAATCAACAGAAGCAGTTAATTATGCAGATATTTTGGCCAAATATCCTATTCACTCCATTCATGAAATGCATGGTATTGGAAGATAAATGTTACCTAGAAATCATATGGAAGCTTGTCTCAACAATTGTTTTTGCTGTTGTTTTAATAGAAATCATTTTTAGTTCTAATTAAAGGGCTTATATATACAAACAATTGGATTTCCTTCCAGATATAGATTCCCCATCTCTCAGTCCTGCCACCAGAGAACCCTCTGAAATAAAAATTAGGTGCAACTTTGTTTGGCTTTGTGTTATTCCTTCTGCAAAAGAAAGGGGAGATAAATAGGCAACCACCTCTGATTAGACACTTCCACTTTCTTTAACAGTTCATAACAGAAGTAAAACTCATAATGACATCATTTTTCTTCTTCTTTCATTCAAATGCCATTACAAGTACTCCTCGACTTTTGACCATTCATTTAGAGACTGTTCGAAGTTAGGACAGCATTGAAAAAAGTGACTTACAATCAGCACGCTGTCCCTGCAATCACACGATCACCATTTGCAATCTTCCCAGATAGCTGCCAACAAGCAAAGTCAATGGGGAAGCCAGCATGTCAGCAAGTCAATGGGAAAGCCAGCATGGAAGGTTACAAGTCACAGTCATGTGATGTCTCACTTAATGACCATATGGCTCACTTAACCACCACAGCAAAAAGGTCGCAAAATTGGGTGCAATCACATGATGCCTCACTTAATGACCACGCTGCTTAATGATGAATTTTCTAATTCTTATTGTGATTGTAAGTTGAGAACTACCTGTAGATCTATATTGGTTCCAAAAAAACACCGAAAAAACTCCAACAATGTCTATCTCAACTAAACAACTGAGAATGGAGAGACTGAGAGTATTCTTTCATGCTTTTAATACAAATAAGACATACTGAATCTCAATTGCAACATTTGTTTTTCTCTCCCACTCAGACTTAAAGGATGCAGTCTACCGTATCTGGTAGATCTCTTAATCTACCAGGGAATCTTTTCAGGGGTTACATGGGGATGTATTGAGAATCAAAGGAGCATAAGATTTATTCAGCAAGTTTCTTTTTTGGTTATGTGGCATTAGACTTTAATGCTGAATTTTAACCTATAGAAGTGGAATTTATAGCAAGAGAGACAGTGAAGGAATATATAAATACTACACAAACTAGAATATAAGCCACTTCATCAAATTTTAGCATGTATTTAAGAAGCTTCCATAAAAGTTAGTTGATTGCACTGTTTGACTGTTAAGTAAGATTTTATATGCATATTCTATCACCGTGATGGCAAACCTGTGGCATGCAGAGCCACTTCTGCTGGCATGCGAGAGGTTGCCGGAAGAGCCTCATTGCGCATGCGCGCGCCGCCCGACAGCTGATTGTCAAGTATCCGGAATGCATGCCCAAGGGGTGGGGGGGCATGGGGGGGAACCGCACACATTGCCTTCTGGGTGCTGGCACACAAGTGCACGAGCGTGCATGCAAATTTTTAGCACAGGAGCCCAAAAAGGTTAGCCACCACTGCTCTATCATATAATTTTTATATCAGGCACTAAGTGTGTTTATGTGTGTGTGTGAGTGCGTGCGTGTGTGTGTATGTGTGTAATTTCATATGATGTGGAGAAAGTAACTTGGCAGATTAGAGGCTGAGTTAACAGACTTCTTATTCTGCTGCCCTACATTCCTGCTACCCGAGGACACTGATATGTTTAGTTCTGAGGATCTCCCTTGTTGCCTTTAGGGGGCTTTAATTCATGCCAAGGCCACCTCATCAGGGTTTCCAGACCATTGCAAGACAGGGGTGGGATTCTACCAGTTCACACCTATTCGCTAGAACCGGTTGTTAACATTCTAAGCAATTCAGAGAACTGGTTGTTAGAAGAAATTACTGGCCTAAATCCTGTAAGGAAGTCAGGAAGGAAACATTCTGGTGTAGCTTACAGAATCTGCCTCTCCGTTAACCCTTATTACATTCTTGGCAGGACTAGACTTCCTGCCTCTGAAACTTCTCTGGAGTTTTTTCCCCTCCTTTGCTGGTACTTTATTTGTGTGGAGTGATCATTCAAAGTTACAATGGCACTGAAAAAGTGACTTATGACCATTTTTCACACTTATGGCTGTTGCAGCATCCCCACAGTCATGAGAGGCCAGGCGAGGAGATGCGTGCCTCAATGTGAGTGATATTGAGTTGGCCACACCCAGCCAATAACATGACCACCAAGCCACACCCACCAACTAAGCCACGCCCACAGAACTGGTTGTTAAAAAATTTGAATCCCACCCCTGCACATATAGGTAACAGTTTTGATATTGAATTTCTATTCTGCAATATTGCATTGTCAATTAGAATGATGTGCCACTCAATTTTGACAGGTACTGATGAAAAGGTGATTAAAAAACTGTATGGATATTTATTAGAAACTAAATTAGAAGAAGAACAAGTTAAAGAAGCTATGATTGCTTGGGGGAAGAACTTTGGATATGGGATTGATTTAGAGAAATGGCAAAAATTGTGGTCTCAAAATTATAAAATGACAATGTCAACAGCTTATAAAGAAAATTTGTATAACATGTTTTACAGGTGGCATTTCCCCCGAAAAGAATAGCAAGAATGTTCAAGAATAAGTCCGAAAAATGTTGGAAATGTCATCAGACACCTGGCTCATATTACCATATTTGGTGGACTTGTGCGGACGCTAGAAAATACTGGACTAAAATCCACATGTGGTTGGAAAAAATGACAAAAAAAATATAGATTTGAAGCCAGAGATATTTTTATTGGGAATTTTACCTGATACATATAGCAAAGATTTGAAATACCTGATTGTAAATGTATTAACAGCGGCTAGGATTGTATTTGCTAAAAACTGGAAAAATGAGAAAATACCATCGCAGGAGGAAATCATTAAGAAAATATTGGAATGTGCTGAAATGAGTAGATTGACATTTGAAATTAGAGAAGAGGATAAACAATTTTATAAAATTTGAGACCTTCTCTATTAATGGTTAGATAATAAAATACAATAATGAAATATGTAGATTTTTAGAAAATAATAAATATATAAAGATGTATTTTTTTTATTATATCTACAAAATGCTTTTAGGATAGATTTGAAAGGATTATATGAATTGTTATAAAATAAACTAAGTAAATTATGGTTATCTCGTAGAATATGAATGAATAAAATTATAGTCAAATGATTGATTAATAATGATACTAGGGTATTCAATTTTTGATTGATAATATGAGTTATTATGCAATGTAACTATAACTGAAGACTACGAAATGGAGGCACAAAAATTTTTTGTAAACCAACCGGCACACTGCTTGTATACTTATGGAAGAAAGGTTGATGTTTTTATGTTTTGTTTGTTTATGTTTGTTTTTAAAAACCAATAAAATTTACAAAAAAAAATATAGAATGATGTGCTACTGTACAAAGGCTGATGAATCACATGTTTCATAAGTGCTCTACCATTTTTTAAAAATGAGTTTTTGTTGCAGCCTTAGCTATGTGTCAGATTGAGGTAGTTCAGACAGTGGACAATTTTTTAAGTAGCCTCTCTAAATGAACAGAATTTCATTTTATTTCATCTCCTAGAAACCTAGAGGCATTGAAATAAGAACATTATAGCATGAGCAGCAGAATACTGAAAATGAGTACAATGGATGTAAGTAAATAAATTTTTGTCAAGCCTATTCTATAGAGATGGTGACAATAGCAAAATATTTCTACTACTACTGCATCCTACAGTATCCTACAATCGACAATGGAACTTTTTCTGGGAAGTCAGGAGCCTGTACTAACAATGCCACCAAAAAGATAATGTAATAACTATAGACAGACTTAACAATGATTGCAATGATGTGCTATCATGTTAGAATTACCTCTTAGTAACCACATAGACTTTCTCCCTGAAAGAATGGCCTACTGTCAGGTAAAACTCATCATATCCATAATATTGTATTGTTAACTCATAGTGCATTATTAGTTAGTTATTTAGTCAATTATTAACTGTTTAGCTTGTCTAATACACTTTTAAAGTGAAGCTAACCCTACATATTTGCTGACCAAATATCTTCTCCATGTTTTATAATTACAATAATTTAATTAGATATGTGGCTTTATTGTCCTATTGTTTTTTTCTCTTTTCCAATAAAGAATTGCTGCATCAAACTGTTTTTCTTTTTCTACTGCAAAGTTTGGTCAAAGAGGATAATAAATATATTTGATTTGCACTCTTTGGTCAGAATTGACAGTGTAAAAAAAAACCTTGAGAATTTTTGTCATCCTTACCAGACAAGAGGTAACTTGAGGTTAACTAACGCTAAAAAGCTTGAGAAAATATGGTGCAGCATCTTTAGTTGTATGCTTTTCAGTTCAGAATGATGGTAGATATTTCTTACTGCATTTCTATTGGGAAGATGGAATGACTACATTATGGGAGTTTACCTGTATTCCTCAAGAAATTATAATGGAACCAGGAGTAACATATTGTATATAGTTAAGGGAAAAGTCAAAATATCAGTCAATGACAGGAAGGAAGGAAGGAAGGAAGGAAGGAAGGAAGGAAGGAAGGAAGGAATTTGTAAATACATCAGTTGGTATGACCTTATCCATTATTTATCTTTTGAAAGTATTATGCACTTTTGCCCTTTATTAGCCATACGGTAAATAACTAAATAAATGCCCTTTATTATCCAAATTATATTGCTTTTCAAATAAATAAAGTTTTTTTAAGGAAATATTAATTCTGCCGTTTCTACAAAGGGGTTTACAAACATATAAATGGATACCTCAAATATAAAAATTATCCATAATACACTAGTTATTGAATAAATACTCAGATAGACAACAATTTCAACAGTAATGGTTTCCAAAGGAAATTGTCTTACAGA